ATTTCTACCGCCATCAGCACTTCTGCTCTATAAATTGTACAACTGCACACGACTTCTGTCTGTAGGCTTCTCTTCAAGCTTCTGTTCAACCTACAAAGAAAATTAGCTGCAGGCAGCAGATAATTGCAGATAATTTTATCATTTTTATGCCACTGGGATGTCGGATTGGGTTATGATAGCTAGGGTTGCTTAAACATGAGCAGAAAGTTGTATTTTTATATTGCCATTTCAGCTGTAAACACAACATAAATCCTTCTCCAGTTTGCACATTACAGCGATAGCCACTAGGAGTCTCCAGGTGGAGAGTTTACTGCGAATTTAAATATTAACGTGGGGTAATGTCTGAATGCAAAAGCAGCGATAAAGGCTAGATCTTAGCAAACTGCGCAGCCCCTGTGTGAGGCAGCCCACAGCTGCCTGCTCGGGGAGCTGGTTCGAAAGGGGCGCTGCTGTCCCGGGTCCCTCCGAGGATTTTGGGGAGACGTGGTCTGAGACAGCCAGCGCAAGAGGGCAGCGGTGGCACACGGGGTTCACAAGGGGACCTTAAGTTGGTTTGTGGTTCTTATTGTACAAACAGCGATCTCCAGCTCCGCTGGGGCAGTCTGACAGTCATAGCGGGGGGCACAGTCCGCCAACCTTTTAAAACTAAAAAAAAGTCAGAAGCTGCCTGTAGGATATTTCTGTGGGGCAAAAGATGATGACAGTCATAAAGAATTAGATTCGTTTGTTTCTTTTTATAATTGCAGAGAATTTTGGAAAAATTTTAAGAAGCGCTTGCAAATAAGGAAGGAAAAGATTTCACCGACCGTTGGGTATTCCTGGGGGATTCAAAGCAGATTTGTTTGTAAACTGGAAAGCTGCAGGCCACATCAACTTGCACATTCAGGTATTTAATATGTTGCTTATGATATCTCTGCAAAATTAATTCTGAAAAAGTGAAGTAGCTGCTTTCCCTCTCCCTTCCCTGTTTCTGTTTCCCTTTCTCTGTCCCTCTCCCTTTTCTCCCAAGCCACCTAATTTGAGCGTAAGGCGCCAGACGCGCTGTTATCGACATCAAAAGCTTGAGACCCCTGAACCGTGGGCTGTGCTGCCGCGCAGTGACTATCAGCCCAGCGCCCTCACTCACAACTCGCACACAAATCTGGGCAAAGGAAGGGTACAGCAAGCAGTCGTGCCCCCTCTGCCACCACTGTGCGCCTCACTGAGTACCCCAAACCTGTTTTAAAGCATGCAGGGATGAGAGCGGTCACCAGCCAACCCAGCTACTACAGCTCCCGCTGTGCGCGCAGGCAGCGCAACCTGCGGGGACGGGGCTGCCACGTGCCGCTTACCGGCACAGGTACCTCCATGGCCCGAAAGCGGGAGCATAACTGCTCTAAGTAATTCATTTTATACGCTTTTTTAAATCATGTTGTTTCTCCTTTCAAGCAAAATCCTTTCGCAAGCCCTAGAAATTGTGACTTAAAAACGATGAGATTTTAAACAAACAATGTCTTGGGGTGTGCTAGTTATTCAGCTTCTGCTGTTTGAGCTTTTCAGTTTCATTTTGAAACTTTTCCCTGCATCCAGAAGTGCTAAGAAAATAAAGACGATATTTTAAATAAAATCTGAGAAACTCACATAACTGTAGGATTCAGAATAATCTCAGGAGTTGTCAATACTGACTGTTACCATTAACTAGGACATTATCCTCCGACTGGATCGCATAAAAGCAATTGCGGGATAGCTTTCCTGCCGCCTGCTCTCCCAAAATGCCCGTGAACGCTGGCCTGCAGGGATTACCCGCAGGTTCTTACAAATGAGGAGTTGCCGCGTGCTAGATTCAGAGCCTGCGTTTGCATTTTGTAACAAAACTGAATGTGCAAAACCTTGTTATTTGGGCCTCTCAACTACACAAGCTCACTGAGCGAAAAACTGAAAGGGAATCGTAAGAACATTTTAATTACACAGGGAACACGTCAAACTGTGTAGGAGGCCAGTTTTACCGTAACCTCCCGCTCCGCTGCTCTCCACGCGGCATAGCCCTGCGAGTCCCCGCAGCGGTTTCCCTGCCGCGTGGGCAGCTCAGCTAGGAGCAGGTCTCCGCCGGGGACCCGCTCCAGCGCGGCACAGCCCTGAGCACGGACACAGCATCCCAGCACCTCACCCTCCTCGCTGCAACGCGCGCCCCTTACGCCTCATCCTGTCCTCTGCCGACACGGAGAAGGCATTATTTCTTTTCCTGAGGAAGAGTATTTTATTGAGGACTGTTATCATGTCCCATGTCACAGACAACTTTTCTTTAGGTTTTACTACAATCTCTCAATAGGACCTGGGCGCAGCCCTCAGCCTGGATGTGTTGTTGCAGGGACGTGATCCGCAACAGGCTGACAACTGACACAGACTCAACACGCAGACTGCGTGCAGCAAGGTACTATGGTGAACAGAGAATTACTAAGGCTGTTTGGGGAACTGATACGGAGACCAAACAGAAAATTGATTCAACCTCCTCCTCCTGCAGAAGCAGGCTTGGTTTTCTTTGGAGTAGTTGCTTTTTCTTGGAATATCTGAAAGGACCCAGATTTCCTCCAAGGAAATAACAGAAGGCAGTTAAGCATTAAGCTGATCTGAATAACAAAAAAAAACTAATACACAAGTTTAGTACGTTAATACCTAACATTCACAATAAAAAAACCAAAAACCAAACATTTTGAAATCTGGTGCTTCATTGTGCCAAAAAGAAACCTTTGACACTCTATCACTTCAAACTCAGGATTTCTTAAGCGCAAGAACACGCCCAGTAGGAATGTATTGTTTTCTGCCGTCCACCTCCTGCAAGCACTGACAGTGCTAGTCCCTTACCTCATTTTCCAAAACTAAAATTGAATGCAAAAATAAAAGATGTCACTGGGAAATGCCAAAGGCTCAGCCCTGCCAATATGTATAAGCCTCATTTTGAATGGAACGTGCATGTGTAATTTCTATGTGTATACAAAGTATAGCGGGACGTGAAGCGTTTTTAGGGGTGACAGCGGACTGCAGAGTTCCTCTTCATGCTGTAATCTTCCTTTTCAAAGACATGACAGTTGAAGGAAAAAAAAGTCTGAATAAAAATGAGCTGCAGGGCACTGTAACATATACATACTTTAAAGCTCTGCTGCTGTACAATACCTCAGGAACTACAAGTATTTCTGTAATTTTCCTTATGTTCCAAGTCAGTCAAGTCATTACCAGTGCATATGTGAATATAGTGTATTTGTACAGCTTACATCCGTACTGAAAATAAATATAGCCAGTTATCAGACTCTGTAGGAGTCGCTCATCCCAAACTCACACCATTAAATACAGTATTGTGTGCTCTCTCGTTCTTCCCCTTTTCTTGTCTTTCCTGCTAGGTTTCTGTTGGCTTTTGGCATCACAAGGGTTTAAAGTGGAAGTGAGTTATGTTTGTCACCTCAGATGATCCCTGAGCAAACTTTCATAATCCGTCACAGCATCAAGGATCCTGCTAGGCCGAACATTTACAGGAAGAGTTCTGGCAACATTTCGGTAACATTTTTAATACTTAAAAAAAAAAAGATATTTTGATTAGATCTACCATCTTTGTTCTAACTTGAGAGTAGGCTGGTAGCTAATGCACTTAGAAACTTTAAAAATTACTGAAGAGAGGAAATGTTGCAATATCTGTCTGCAGTAAACAGAAGAAATAAGTTTGTTGGGCAGTAGACTGCACTAAAATGATACGTACAACTTTTTATTCGTTACATGACAAGATTTATTGAACATCACTGGTCCAGGGCTGAACCACATCAAATACAGTTTTGACAGAGAAAATATGCTTTAAGATAAAAGAAAAAAGACCATATTATGCTGGGTATGTTGCATTTATTTATTTTTAAACGGTGGCGGCTTGAAGCTGCTGGGAGGTTTAGGATGTCAAAGTAGTGTCAGCAGAGATGGATTAGTGGGCAGAGAGCAAGTGGTGCAGTCACAGGTTCACAATGAATGTAATTTATTCACATAGCTTTCCAATTTATCACGTGGCTCTCACCATAATGTACGTGGGAAGCAGCTGCATGCATGCACACGTTGTCCTAAATGTGTGTGTGGCTGGACCTGAACTTCTTACAGAACACTAGTGGTTGAAAATGATCCTGTGAGGCATTTAAAAGCAAATTTCTTCCTGAGGGGACTCTGTCACACAGTGATGATGATGATTCTTGTTTAGGCAAACCGCTATCTTGTAGATTGTATTCAATTACAATAACCTCACTTACCAGAACTCATCAATTTTTCAAACCTAAATTATCTAGCTAATACGATGTAAATTTCTCATGCTTTAATAGTACCACATAATAGATACAAATATATATGTTTTGCATCTCAAGCCCATATTTCCTGATCAAGGAATACTATATTTTCACTCAATATTTTACAGAAATAAATATTTAAGGCAAAGAAAATGAATTTCCCTATTTTGTAAGAAGAAAAAAAGTTTATCTTCAAGTTGAAGTTTCTTTTAATTTTAATGACCTCTTACAGCATCCTTTGACACCAGCCCAGCTACCCTCTGCCGCTTTCTAAGCTGCTGCAGCCTGAGTTTCTAGCAATACTCTGCTCTTTGGAAGTGATGCTGAATTATACAACACCGGGATCCTTTCTGATCTGATCAGAACCAGCTCACGTAAGTCTTTTGTGATCCAGGCAAATGCACCCCAGTTAAGGGTTAGCATAGCAGGAGTTTCATGCTGCTTTCTTTTAAGGCATAAAAGTTGACGTAAAAGGACACTGAATTCAGACAAAGTCACATTAGGTCCTAAGGAGAAGAACATCTCATTGCCCAGCTTAATGCAGTGCATTAACAAACGCTTACCATTTCATTTAGCAGAACTCTTTCACATTTCGAATATGATGCAGATTTTCTTGGATATTTACACCTGAACTATAAGAACTTCCACTTTGCATCCATCCTATCACAGAAATATATCCACCAATTATGCAAAATGAAAAGCTTGCCTTACCATTGCACAGAAGGTCTCAGGAGGATCTCCACATGTTATGTCTGGGGGATCCAGAGTCACTTTTACATATTTGATCATGTCTCTGGCTTCCGGTTGGCAGGCCATGTAATCCCATACTTTCCCTTCTTCTGTATAAATTTGAGTCTTACACACGTCATAATGTCCCCACACAGAAGGATAATGCTGCATCACTGAAGACACAGTAACCCAGAGGGCGTGAAGTGACAGGAAGCTTGATAAATACATCTCTAAATCCTTTTGTGTCACCTTCGTAAGGATGCTCGGTACTGGCGTACGTGCAGTCTATAGATTATACATATATGTACACGTATATATTTTGTAAAATAGGTTCCAGCTCAAAAGTGAAGCATTAGTATACGGTGTTTGCTTTACTAAGTTGAAGACTTTGGTAGAAGCCACAATCCCCAAATGACAGCCTTTCACAGCAATGTAGAGCTTGTCCTTTGTCTTATACCGTCTCTATTAGGGCTTCTTGTAACACATGTCCAAGCGCAGATAATAGCTCGTGAAGTTGCGGGTCTTCAGCTACGCTGTCGATAACCCTGAGTGATCCTCCGTGTTCACGGCTCACAGGGGATGCCCAGACGCACTGATAAATCAGTATCCGAAGTGAAAGGATGAGTGTCTACAGGCTGGTGTCTGTTTCCCATCAATCATTCTTTTCTTCGGGCACCAGCACCCTTCTAGAAACAAAAAAAGAGTAAAAGTTATTGTCCAAGAATCGGTGCATTACAAAATATGATACGTTGACATTTTGGAGGTTTGATGCAATGTAAAGCAAATTGGTGTAATATGGATAACCTTTAGCATGGGTGCTGTGCTAGAATGAACAAACTACTAAAATCATTCACAGTGAAAAGTGTTTCAACATAAAAGATTTAGCTCTTCTCTAAAAAAGACCGATTTGTAATGTTCCAGGTGAGTTACAGGTTGCTGCTTCCAAAATTATATTTCCACCCTGGCAAAACCAGAGAGCAAACAGCAGAACTTAAACATTTCTCACATTTTCTCAGCTGGCAGGTAGGGGAGAAGGGAATGGAACCACCGTGGGGGAACAGCAGGAAGGCTCTTTTATTAAAGTGACAAAGAGATGAGTATCAGGGCTATCAGGTGCTGGTAGTTTCTTGACAAGAGGACCTCGGAGAGCTCCAAAAGTCTTATATACTTCTTAGCCTTTTTTGGAAGAATGAGAAAGATGTAATGAGCACGCTTCCATTTCCGTGATTTTTTCTCATTAGCATTAGAAGAGCTTTGCTCCTTTTTTTTTTTTTTTCCAAATGCGATTACTGATGAAGATAACAGTTGATTCATTTGTAGCTTACTATAAGGACCCTTTCCTCTTTTAATATGGATGCCATGTTTTCCTAGGTTTGGAGTGGGGGAGGTGTTACACAGCGTTTATTTTATCCCCTCCTTAAAAGCAACGAGGAGCCCCTCAGTTTATAACCCCTCAATTATATTATTGTAGGGATAAAATCCTAGGATTTTTTTTGATGATTTAAAATACACATATGCTAAAAGGCAAACGTAAAAATACAGATACAATGAGGGAAACTGCAAAGACAGAGGAAGTCCCCTAAGCATGCACAATCAAAACCAGGGTTACAGAGCTGAGCTCGTTTCCCGGGCCTGGGTGGCTGCCATCAGCCGGCCTCAGCTGCGGATGCAGAGCAGGCGCTGACTTGGGGGAGCAGCACCAGGCTCCCGCAGGTGGACAATTTCAGCGAGCCACTACAGCATTTCTCTGCTCTTTCTGACCCAATTCTAAAATCCACATGAGCGCTTTAGACAGACACTCAGAAACAACTGTAGGGCACCACAATCCGTAGCTCGCTTAGCTTGTTTCAAGTTTTAAATTATGCCAGGTGTCGTGAACCTTCCTATACCACTGAAAATTGGAAAGGAATATGCAGCTGGGTGAGCTCCTTAACATGTTGCTTTGGTAATACATGTTTTCAAGAAAGAGCAAAACTTATCTTCAAAGCTATTCACAAACTGCTTCCCTATATTTAAATAATGCACCATCTTAAACTGAACTAAACTACAGTCACTATGAAATGCCAACAGATGGTTGAATTGTGTTTCCATAGCAAAGTAATTTACAATAATTGCCGTATGGACGTAAATGCAATTTTCCATTATATTCATTTTATCAAATGTTACCATACAATTGTGATATATTTTATCAGAATACGTACAGAATATCTGAATTTTCATGCAGTAATAATTCTCAATTAGCTCAAATATATTTAAGATTCAAATCTGAATTTGAAACAAAGCAGAAATATCAAAGACTAAATTAATCTTTTAAGAATCACATCGGGTAGTACCATAGCTTCATTAACAACCTTACATTCTTTTCTGTTTTCAGTGGCAATACTTACTTATCTTGGAATTCACAGGTTCAATAATTCAGAGAACATTTTTAATGTTCTTCTAGAGACACATCACGCTTTTCCTCTCTAGTTCTTGTTAATATATTTTACTATTTTGCAAGAAAAAAAAAAGTTTAAATAGAACAGTCATAATCCAGAAGGGAAACAACTACTCTGTTAAAAAAGAATCCCTTGACATCAGTCAAAACTTGTAAATTATTTTAAATTTATTGCGACAAATCAAGACACACTCTGTACTGGAGAAGGCTCGGTCATAGTTGGAATAAACAATAGGTGAATGTTTCTGTAAGGAAATAAGATATTGCTGGGTTTAATTATCCTTAAACGATAAGCCTTTACATTCAGGCAAAAATAGATTTGCTTTCTTTAATATTTTCATTGCTAGTTCTTCAGCTACCCATAACCTTTTATAACTGCTGAGACTGATCTACAAATAAATAGGACTGGATAGGACTAGAATAATGTGAAGCAAGCCGCTGTCTTAACACACTGTGCTAAAATACTTCCCATATAACGAATTCTCATTAAAGTAAGTCAGAGTCATAATGATGGTCGTTACACAGAATTATAGACTATAACATTGATCGAACTTAGTGCACTGACAAGGAAAAAGTGCAGAGGAGTGCAAGACATTTGAGCATTAGGCAGATGTAGAACTGTTCGACAGACATTCCTGACAAGAAGCAGCCAATTATAGCTTAAATTTCTGGCATATAACCAGTTCTGATTAATAGTTTTCCATTACATTACAGATATATTATTAATGTATTAAAAATGTCAAGCTTTGGCAAGAACTAATACGGCATGGCTCAGTTAGTCTGCAAAACCTTCTTTTAATGAGCTTCCATTGATACACAGAAAGATATTGACCAAAGCACATTAAGGATCATATGCTAAGCGCTATTGGGGTTTTTCTAACAGAGCTATACAATTTGTCTTGATTATATTTATTCTTGCAGAGTCACTCATTATCTGCGCTCTGCATTTTAGTGGCCTATTTCTAAAGATTCTAAAGACTTGTATATATTTGAATTATTCTGCAGAAAATGTTTAGAATAACATTTCTAAAGCATAGCGCTAAGCTTCTAGCTATACCGTGGGCAATAAAGCAGGATTTTTTTCTTCCCCAATAATCCAGGTACATTTGACCTTAAAAAGTAAAAAGAATCAAACAAATCTGGAGTAACTACTATGTAGCATCCCCATCCTCCGCACCTCATAGCTCTCTGTTCTCCGTCTAGTCCCGCGTTTGGGGTGTTAAACGGGTCCGTGGGGTCTGACGGGGAGTGACACCTTTACTGACTTCAGGCAAGGCAACTGCAGGCTGCTGGAAGGAGGGATTATGCATTCAAAAGCACCGGCGCACGCTGCTCCTGGAGACGCTCTTTGTGGGGCAAGAGCGGCATTAAGCGCAGAACGTTCGGGGCCTGGAATTGCCACCCATGCCGTACATATCCTCCGCAGCCCCAAAGCCAGCAGGCGCTCCCTGGGCATCCGTGATGCCAGCGCCACTCCTGCGTCTCTGCCTTCTCCCCAGGCACCTCTTTGTATGCAAAGTGGTGGACGCTTAGGCTGCAATGAATACCTTATGGCTGGCTGCAGCATACGTTTAGGAAGGAAGGAGAACAGCTGACCCCCAGACTAAAATCAGCTGTAAAGGCGGCTTTACGCACTTGCATCTTTTTCCAGGTGGCTAAAGCTGTCAGTCAGACCTCACACAGCATTTTAATTCTGCAGCCTGATCAAACTCCCTCTGCTCCACAAACTGGCTAAAAATGCATCTCAAGAGAACTAGTATTGGTATCAACCCCCCCCCGGCTCGTTTGAGGGCTCGGCAGCAATCGCACCTCCTCCTGCCTGCTCTGAGCTCAGGGGAAATTTCCCCCCACCCCTGATTCCTCCGCTCAGCGGAAACGGCGGCGTCAGCGAGCCGCGCTGCCGCCCTCCTCCCGCACAAGGTCCCTGTCGAAAACTTACTGTACACATGGAGGGGAGGAAGGGGTTTCCTGCTCTTCCTTTTCGAGAACCAGCAGGTATGCGGAGAATATAACAAAATAACAAATGATTATCTCTCCTACAGAGGAAACACTTGATGACACGTACACTGCCACCACACATGAGTAAAAGAGTCAAAAGAATGATTAGCAACGCCTGCCGGTGTCTGCCAGCGTGAGAAAACTGGTCAAAATCACAAACCCATTCAGTGAATGTTGGTGGTGATCTGACAACATTTGGGATCTACAGAACAATTTTTTCTGAGGAAATGTATTTTAACTTTGCACCTCTAAACAGTTTCAGCAAATGAATATACCTAATCTGGTCCAGGTAAGAAGATTGTTTGTGTCTACCCCAGTTATTAATTACTTAAAGGTAGGGTAGAATTTACAAAATAGCATGTATATTACTAAGACAGAACTAATCCTCATAGCGAAGAGTTACACCATTTACTAAAATTACTTTGCTACACCTAGAAACCTTGAGAACCCAGCACATTACATATAAAGCCCCACTACTTCAAAAATAATACTATCACTTCTTATAAATGCAGAATTATTCATCTACGCAAACAAAATGGGAACCTGTACTTAATGATTCAACACACAATTTCTGTCATAGCTGCATAAAAAATAGCATATTCTGAAAAATTCCTAGAGTGCCTTTGGACTCAGATGCTGCACTAAAAGAAGTTCAAATTCTACTTATCTAGCTTATTTAACTGTTTAGTAGAAGAAAATTTCTATCTCTTAGGAAGAATTTAAAATGTCAATACCTATTGGCAGAAGAAAATAAAATGCAGCGTTCTACTAGCAAAAGCTGGGATTCTGCACTATAATTAGAATATTTTAGGTTTCCAGTATCATTCCTTGATGAGTGAGCCCTCACACTAACATTACCATTACTTGCAGGGTATCATCAGTAGTCAGCATGTGGACTAAAATTTAAATGTTAAAGCCAGAGTTTGTAGCTGCTTCAAGATTTTACTCCAGAATCTTTATAATTGCGACTTATTGGCTTAAAATATCTCTGTACCTAGAATCAATTTGTTCCACAAGTTTTTCTTCTCCAAATTTAAGTGAGTATTTGGGATGGCTGTTTTTTTTGTTTTTTGACAAATAAGGTAATACAGGCGCTTGTCAAAAAGTATAACCTGGTGTGCAGGGGTGCTAAGCTTTCAAGTTGTGGTGGGAGCAGAAGAGGTCTTCTTCAAGCCTGACGAAATGCTAAGTTCTTAGCATCAAAATCAAATAAAAATAAAAGTCTAACAGACCTTGAATTTGGTCTGTGCTACTGCCAGGTTTTACATATGTAGCTGGAAAGTTGGCTCTACTTATCAACGTCACAGGGTTGAGTGTTGATGACTAAGTCCATGAGACATTAGACTATTGCCTTTATTTGCTGGAAACTGTGTGCTAAACATCCTTTGAAGCTTCAAAGATACACCAGAAATCAACTTTTTCCTTTTTTTTTAATATCCATTCAAAATAGGAAAAAGAAGGAAAAGCAGTACTGTGATTTCATTCCTTTTGATTGGCTACCTAGGCCAGAGTTTTGAGCCTCTGAATTGCATTATCCATAGGCACAACAGTGATTTATTCCCCTTTAAAAGCACCTCCACTGTTTATTTCATTCGCTCTCTTTGCTAACATCTTTGCGAAAGTAAGGCTGGCTCCTAGTGCATCAAATACCCAATGGTAAAAAGTTGATTGCATAACAATAAAAGTATATTCAGTAGAGGCCAAAAACCCACATGTACCAGCTTTGAGAGTACAAGAGCATCTATTTTAGTGGATTTAGCCATTCTGCACTGCTCACTATCATTTGAGGTTTGTTTTGGGTTTTTTTTTTTTTGGAATGGTGAGAAAAATGATTTGTAATTTCCGATTCAAGGAAAATCGGAATTGTTTCCTGGCTGAACGGTGAACCGTCTGCCGCCGGCGCACGCGGCTATCCTGTATACCGCCAATCCCACCCTTTTCTGAAGCGCAGCTTTCCGTCCCTCCTCGCCCCGCGAAGACAAAAAACCTTTCTTCAGGGCCAGCAAAGCGCCCGCCGGGCCGGGCCCGCTCCGCGGCGCTGCGCCG